CAATCTGTATGGTTAAAAGCACTATATAAATAAAGGTGACTTGACTTGACTATCGTGATAATTTTTTTGGTCATATTGCCCAGCCCTACCTGAGGGTGAGGACATTTTCACAAATTGTATTTTTGGTTGAACTATTGCTTTAAACTGGGATAAAAGATTGTATTTTAACATCCAAATAAAATGACACACTTCACCTTAAACTTCATTCAAATACGAGGTTGTTTTGAAGTAAACCCTGCAGAATAATGCACCTGAAAGAGAGGTTAACAGAGGACTCTTCTCTAAGAGCAGAAGAGAATCGATGACTTCCGTCCACAGACACAAAACACCCATTAACTCGTCAAAATCAGAGGAATGAGAGTCATTTGAGAGCAGGGTGTTCACCAATTAGAAGCTATGTTTATGAAATCACTGCCACGCATGAGAAGAAAAATAGATGCTGTAAAACTTTCATTTTCATTTTGTCAGGTCCATTCATTCCCTGATAATGAAACCCAAGATCTTTGTGTTGCTAGTGTCAAGTTTTACTGTTTGAGAAATGCTTTACAAAAAAATAATAATAATAATAATTTGAACAGCAATCTTGGCACCTAACATTACATTGTTAAAAAATAGTAATAATGAAATTTACAGTAAAAAAGGCAGCTGTGGTTGCCAATTTTATGAATTTAACTTAAATTTACAGTAAAAAAAATATTTCTAAAAAAGGTCTAAATCTAATTTGAATTACAGACATTCAATTCTATTTTTTGTTTCACTTAGAGCACTTTTAAGTTCCTAAGGCTTTTTTTCTTTTTGTGATATCGCATTATCGCAACAAAACATGTCTTAGCATCACATGCCTGTTATCTATAGATTTTATTTATCTATTCTCATAATTTCCAAACAAGCTGTAATTCAGTCAAAATTATGCAAAAAATGTGAAAACATTACTTAATTAGGCACATTTTGCCTACATAAAACTGTATCCGTGACATTAGGATGTCATGATTCAATTCCAAACAAATTTTAAACATAATTCCCATCGCACAATGTGACACCAAAAAAAACATGATTTGAGATGTGCTGGAAATGACAGGATTGTCATGATGCGATAAATGTATGTTCACTGTACACAAATACAACTAACCTGTGAGAGTGTTTTAACCCTCAAGCATCCTTCGGGACAAATGTGGGCAAAATCCTTTTGTTTTTTTAAGTTTCCTTAATCTGAGCGGTACAAGACTTGGCTACTTTTCCTACGTTTGCCACCTGAACACACACACACACACACACACACACACAAATGAACTCGATTCAACAAAGTTAAGTGGTTGAATAAAAAACAAAAACCTCCTTAATTTGTCCTTCATGGACAAAAGTGGGCACCCATAGGAAATGAATGGGAAATACTGTAATTCAGAGCATTTTTTTTATTTGTCCAATAGGAATCAATTAAGCCAACACAATGCAGATCATACATACACAAATGAAGGGGTGAGCCTATACAACATTCTCAATGTGCCACACACTCACACACAAACAAAGCATTGAATGAGCCTATAACATTGTTAAAAAATAGTAATAATGAAATTTACAGTAAAAAAGGCAGCTGTGGTTGCCAATTTTATGAATTTAACTTAAATTTACAGTAAAAAAATATTTCATTAACTGAAATAATGTTAATATACCAAAATACTGAAACCTGTTTTGTAACAACTAAGTAAAAACTAAAAAGAAACCAACATAAAAACGTAAGAAGAAACTGATAAAATAAACTAAATTATTTAAATGAAAAAGCATCAAATGTGTCACACCGAATGTAAATATTTTTTTTACTTTTTCATCTCCAAAAAATGTAAATAAACTTTTACAGTTAAATTTACACCATTTAGACAAGCAGTAGATTAAATTTAGAATTTTGTCTGTGAACTTCCGTTTTTGCATTTCTATGGCATCGCTGTTGAAGTGGATTTATAGTGTAGACTTAACTAAAGTTATCAAGTCCATAATGTTTGAATCGGATGTGAAACGTCAGTAGACCTGGGCGATTTTAAAACGAGCGGTTCATTCATAAATTCGTACGACCTTACCATAACGCTGGGGAAATACAACCGGAAGACAGAAGACGAAGAGCAAGGAGCTGAAAAGGGGCGGGCTACATAAGGTCTAAATCTAATTTGAATTACAGACATTCAATTCTATTTTTTGTTTCACTTAGAGCACTTTTAAGTTCCTAAGGCTTTTTTTTCTTTTTGTGATATCGCATTATCGCAACAAAACATGTCTTAGCATCACATGCCTGTTATCTATAGATTTTATTTATTTATTCTCATAATTTCCGAACAAGCTGTAATTCAGTCAAAATTATGCAAAAAATGTGAAAACATTACTTAATTAGGCACATTTTGCCTACATAAAACTGTATCCGTGACATTAGGATGTCATGATTAAATTCCAAACAAATGTTAAACATAATTCCCATCGCACAATGTGACACCAAAAAACATGATTTGAGATGTGCTGGAAATGACAGGATTGTCATGATGCGATACATGTATGTCCACTGTACACAAATACAACTAACCTGTGAGAGTGTTTTAACCCTCAAGCATCCTTCGGGACAAATGTGGGCAAAATCCTTTTGTTTTTTTTAAGTTTCCTTAATCTGAGCGGTACAAGACTTGGCTACTTTTCCTACGTTTGCCACCTGAACACACACACACACACACACACACAAATGAACTCGAATCAACAAAGTTAAGTGGTTGAATAAAAAACAAAAACCTCCTTAATTTGTCCTTCATGGACAAAAGTGGGCACCCATAGGAAATGAATGGGAAATACTGTAATTCAGAGCATTTTTTTTATTTGTCCAATAGGAATCAATTAAGCCAACACAATGCAGATCATACATACACAAATGAAGGGGTGAGCCTATACAACATTCTCAATGTGCCACACACTCACACACAAACAAAGCATTGAATGAGCCTATAATACAGGTTTGTTTGTTTGTTTTTTGGAATGTGCCAATCACCCACTGTGCACACACACACACACACACACTCACACAAACAGACACACACACACACACACACACACACACAGACACACACACAAACAGACACACTCTCACACACACACACACAAACAGACACACTCACACAAACAGACACACACACACACTCACACACACACACACA